GATATGCATTGGGGAATGCAGGTACGACTTTGCACGTCAGTATTATGTATATATAAGTGTTGTGTAGTTGAATCCGATAGGGTTGTGTTCTCAGATGGTTCCAAATTAGAGTCCGACGCTTCAGGTTTGAGCTTTGTGGACAACTATTGAGTTTGGCGAGCATGGATGCGGGCTATTCCACAGCGTGATGTAGTAGTTTCTAATTTGCGTGTCGATGCTGACTATTACAGATGAAAAGGATATACATCATGTAAAATACTGTGCGACTCAGGGGGAGCTCAAAGTGTGGAGTGTCTATATGATGCTATGTGTGCTTTCTTAATACATTTCTTGTGACAAAACGTAATGGATGGCTATTGGCAGCAGTTCGCTGTGACTTTTTTTTTTAATACTAGCTGTACTTTTTCTTACTGAGCTTTTTTTATCAAAAGAAAACTATAACATATAAACTTAAATTCACGATACTGTACGTGTATGATCGAGACGTCTCGCAAGTTTCCGACAAGCACATAAACATGTTGATTGGTGGCATACATTGATAGACCCTGACAAACAGCCCACTTATGTCCATACGCAGACACGGTGCAGATCCAGGCCTTATTGACGGGAGGGGAAAGCTACCTATGCACTATGTAGAATCAAGGTTATTGTTACTTGGGAAGACCATCGACTCCACTAGCAAGTCACGGTTCTTAGAGGTACGTTTGCTAGGCCGCATGTAGAATAGGCCAATGTTAGTCATAGAACAAGCGGGTGGAGGGACGGGCTGGGTGGCCTGGTGTTTCTGGAAATGTCTTGTGGTGGTGTGGTGATGACGCTGCGCAATGACGTTGTATATATCGACACCATGTCTATAGCCGCACCTCTTGATTTCAGGTGTAAATGTTTGGATCTACAGGTGTTGACAAAAGGCTGCTTGTACTTTCCTCTTACACGACATTATTTAATACCTCTCGCTACTTCTGGTTTAACTGTGTAGACTTAAGGCTGCTTGTACTTTCTCTTACACAACATTGTCTAATACCTCTCGCTGCTTCTGGTTTAACTGTGTAGACTTAAGGCTGCTTGTACTTTCTCTTACACAACATTGTCTAATACCTCTCGCTACTTCTGGTTTAACTGTGTAGACTTAAGGCTGCTTGTACTCTCTCTTACACAACATTATCTATACCTCTCGCTACTTCTGGTTTAATTGTGTAGACATAAGCTGGTTCTTTCTCTTGTACACCATTTTCTAATACCTCTCGCAACTCCCTATGTTACTTTGCAGATCTACCGGTTCCTGCAAGCCTGCAATACGACACGCGACCTCGGCTGTAGCGGCGCGTTATTGGAGGGCGCGAGTGGCATGGGCATGTACATGGGTGCAGACACACGCACCCAGGATGTGGAGAACCTGGAGGCGGAGGATTTGGCCACTCTGCTCAACGGAATGGTTTCTCTATCGCTGAGCAGGCCTGAGACGGGTGACTCGTAGTGTGTATGGCTTGGTATTGGTATCATTATGATTTACATATACCCATGGTGAATGTGGGCCACGTTCTTTGTATGGCGAACAGAGCCAGCAGCCAGAATAACAACTGCAAGCACTTTGACAGATGAGAAGAGTGACAGTTTCATTACTGAACTTTGCTTAAACGAAACCACATCTGGTAGAATAATGGTCACGACTAAACCCTGAGCGCGAGAATATGTCCATGCCATACGCGAGTGTTGTCAACCACTATCGAAAGTATGGCTATTCATCGACGTCGGGTACAGCAGAGTAACGATATATCACACACACAAACGCAAAGCAGCGCACTAATTGGGGAGGAGCAATAGGTTTAAGTCCTTGTTTTAACAGAATCCCTCGGAACCACGAATGTGCGAAAGTACTGTAATCGGATTCTTGACTTGTTTGGAGGTCTCAGAGATGATGTCAAATAAATACAATTCGAAGAAAAAAATACGAGCGTCC